ACCGGCATGCAAACCACTGTCGGAAAGAATGCACGATAGAACGGCGAAGAAAGATAAGAAAATGCAAGGGAATTGATAGGAATTTTCATTCGTTTTGACTGTTACACCGGCTACCAAAATTCCTCCGAGCGGACAATTTCAACTCCGATATTCTCCTGTTCTGGCTCCCCCTTCGTACTTACGCTCCCTAAACAATGGATTTCACAGGACCTACAGGAGTACGCTTGCCTCACCCGTTCAATTAGGAAGTACAGGACTTACAGCAGTACGCCTGCGCATCCCCTAGCCTAGTCGGCTAGTTGGCTCCTTTTAATAGACGTATTACCTGCTCCTTCGTCAACACAAGCAGTAACGTGCGCACGGAGCGGATCATTCTCTCCCATACGCTTCCCTATGATTATAGGAAGGAGGGTTAAAGAACCATTTTACCCCATCACGTGCAAGACGGTAGTTAATCCTGTGTCCATCCCAGCGTTTAATTGTATTCTTTAGTTCTGAAACGGCACCCACGAAATTTGATCCGTTATCACTATAAGTCTCTGAAGGTCTTCCTCTTCTACCGATGAATCTTAAGAGACACAGGGTAAACGAATCTGTATTGAGACTGCTCGCTATCTCTAAGTGCACGTCTTGGGTCTGTAAACAGGTAAATACGCAGCCATATTTCTTTTCCGAACCACGATCGTTGCGAACAAACAGAGGTCCAAAATAATCCACTCCTACTAAGTTAAAACAGCACCAACCCTTTTGTACCCCACATAGCGGTAGGGGAGCCATCATCTGCTGACCAGCAGAAGCTACCATTTTCCGACATACTATGAATTGACCTATTACTCGCTTCGCTGCACTGATTCCCTTGACAATCCAATATTTTTCACGGATCGCTGACAAGACGTGTGACTTACCACAATGTCATTCTCTGTCATGATAGTGGCGAATAATAAAATCTGTCACATGATGTCGATTGGATAGGACCACCGGATGCTTGAAATGGGATGAGTAGTTTGCGCAACTAATTCGCCCACCTACACAAAGCAAGTCACCTATCGTAACTGGACAAAGCTTCCTCAAAGAATGCACCATGCCTCCGTTTTGTGCTCCTTGAAGATTTGCCTGTAATGGTGATTCACCAAATGTTTCATTTTGCACCATTCTTAAAGTCTTTCATCGAGCTGCGTCGATTTCTTCTACCGTGAGGTTTCCTACGCTCAGGGTACTTTCGTTTCTCNTAAGAGATGAAAGGAATAATCTATGCAACTGACTTTACAAGTTTTGACCATTGAGAGTAACGATGCAGAAGCTGTTCTAGTTTTATCGACAAAATAGCTGTGTTCACGCGTACTACAATTTTCTTCATCTCTACGCCATCCGGTGGGTACGTTAATGGCGATAATGCCTGTGGAACATAGCTCCATAAGAACATCGGCCCCTCTAACCATGTCTCTAGTTCTCTTCTTGTTGACCTACCTCTCGAGTTAAGGTCAGCGATATTTTGTTCGGACCGGATGTGACGCCATTGGGACACCGTGGAGTACTGATGGATGATTGCGAACCGATTAGCAACGAATGTACTAAAACGTGTTGAAGTATTTTCTATATAATATTTGACAATCATTGAATCCGTCCAGTACCACACCTCGCTGAACATCTCCGATAGAGCCATTTTCTTCAACTTTCCTATCTTAATTCCGAGGACTACCGCAGACAGTTCCAGTCGTGGTATGGTTACGGGTTTGATAGGTGCCACTCGAGACTTACTGAACAGTAAAACGCTGTAAGCCTTTTTTGCTGGGAGGCAACACGCGTAGGCGACGCCCCCATAACCTGTCTCGGATGCATCACAGAAAACATGCAACTCTTTTCTCCCTCCTTCTCCCCAATCTTCATTTTTAATACTTCTTGGGATCTTAATCACTTCTAGACACCTAACAAAGCGTACCCAGCTTTCCTAAATACTGGCATTGAAAGGTTGATTCCAACCCATTTTGGATTTACACAAGGTTTGCAGCAACTGCTTCGCTGGGAGGCATAGAGAAGCTACCACGAACTGACGCAGGATAATATACCTCTTCTTGTCACCGGCTTATCTAATAGCTGGAACTGGANGAACTGGAACGTAAAAACACCTCATGTTGTGTTCCACTGCACGCCCAAAGCTCTCTGAAAACTGGAATCAAATTGAGGCACTTGGACCAGGTGGGTACTTGTGCTGTCTTCCGAGAGGGATTCTGCAAGTTCGGATGAGTTAGATGGCCACCTTATCAGTTTAAAACCACCTCTTCCCAATAGTTCGGTTGTTTCCTTCGCAAAACGTAAGGCTTCATTGCATGTCGAGTGCGATGCAAGACAGTCATCAACGTAGAAGTTTTCTTCTATGGCTTTTAGCACTGCACACCCATAACCACTACCGAATTCTCTTGCAGCCCTGTTCAAGGCAAAATTAGCACAAAACGTTGAAGAAGTTGCACTAAACGGGTGAGCTGTCATTTGATATTCCTCGGGATCCTTGAGTGGGTCACCCTGTGGCCACCAGAGAAACCTCAAAGCGCCTATTTCATGTTTTGGCACCATCACTTGCATAAACATCTCTTCTATGTCAGCTGTAACAGCTACTTGTTCCTTAAGGAGTCGCATAATTATACCCAATGAATTCGCGGTGGTGTCTGGACCTTGATAGAGCATATCATTCAACGATTGCTCCTTGTGTTTTGACGCACAATCGAAAACTATACGCAGCTTTTCCGGCTTTTTTTTGTTTAATACCGCATGATGAGGCAGGTATCAACGCGGATGAAAGTCGCATTGTAACTGTTCCCCTGGGGCTGGCACGGCATATCCCTTCTCCATAGTTATCTTCATAGTTTGTGCGTAACGGAACCGTAGTGCTTCGTCATTAATTAAGCGCCGCTTTAGGCTGTTCAACCTCAAGAGCGCTGACGCATAGTTTCCCATACCGGTATTGACACCCTTCTTCCATGGCAGAGGGACCACGAAGTTCCGATCGACGAACATGGTACCGGACTCCAGAATAGCGATAGCCTCTGTGTCGTCTACGGAAATGTCTTGATTTAATAACTGGGCGTCTGTAAATTCTGCATCGTACATTCGCATTACCTGATGCATTAAATTTGAGTCTTCTGCAGCCAAACAGTTGACCGATTTCATTTCATACGAAGGTCCAAAAATCACCCAACCTAATAGCGTTCGAACTGCATAAGGATTCTTTCGACCACCGAGCCTTTGATCGAGTACCCAATGCGCCTCCGGTATATCACACTCAATTAATAGTAGAAATTCTCCATCAAAGTATTCTACTGGAAGGTCTGCCAAATGGGGCTATTTTTCATCCTTTCAGAGATGTCTCTAACCGGCTTATGAACGGGCACTTCTTTTATAACCACATACTGATTCTGCTTCATTTAGAGGCAGTACCTGAAAAGCACTGCTGACAAAGTTTTATCTTGATTGATTCACTCATCGTAGTTATTTTTGAATGGTTTCTTTGTTGGTTTAACCCCAAATGAAGTAGTGCACTCGCTTTATTAAGCGTCGTATCCGATTCATTATCTAGCAGGGCATACCCGACAATCACATTTAATCCAGCTCTTACCTTGACCGGTAATAATCCCAAGCTCACATTATTGTTCCGAAGTCTAGTTGCTCCGCAGTGGCCCTCACAGATTGGTTCATGCTGCGTGTTTAGGACTCTCTTAACGATGTGAAGCAACTTGTGATGTCTACCTCCGCAACCACATACGTCACAAGTGGTCTTATTACTGCAGTCATTCGCTCGATGGCTTCCCATTAAACATATAAAACACAAATCGTATTTTCTTGCTTGCCCCAGCTTTCCTGGGTATTTAACCCCGAAAAACTCAAACAAGATTAAACTAGATGGTTTTCAGCACAAATCACACATCTTTGTGTGCGTAGATCGTTAATATTCTTGACCAAATTTACACTATAGTTGAATGAAGGTTGACGTCTGCTCGAAGGTTGTATAGACTGGACGGGCCTATTACTTCTTCTGCTTCGGTTAGCAAGTTGCCCAAAGCGACTCCTCGCTACTCTAGCCATTGCAGATATGAACTCTGTCAGTTCGGTAAAATTTGTCTCCCTGTCTTTTTGAGCAATCCGATCCACGATCTCCGCCCACGTCTGTTGCAGAGAATACGGCAATTCTTCAATTATTTGTTTCAACGTGCTAAGCGAATTAAGATCAGCCGTGTAATCCATTTGTTCCAGAGCGATCATGCAGCTCTCCATTCGAATAGCTAAACATGACAACACATCAGCGTCCACGCCATTCATGCTGAAACCCTCCAGTAATCCATCTAAAAGTGAGCGCGCTACCTCGTGTAAGCGCCAAATAGATCTTTGAGAATTGTACATGCCCTATCGTATCCAACCGCGAGTGGCAACATGATGCAATCTTCAATTGCGCTCCTTGCCTTCCCTTTACAGTAATGAAGCAAATATAACAAGCGTTGCCCGTCGTCATTAGTCTTGGAGGCAACGTATATTTGAAATTGTCGAATGAACCTCCAGTACATTGTGGGTCGCCCATCAAAAGACGGAAGCTCTACTCTGGGTAGGTCCAGATTCGCGGTAGTGCGGCCTGATGTGGACGTCGTCGTCTTACGTCTTCTCTCTAGCTCACCGAACCCTGCTGTCCTGGGAACAAGAGGATCACCCACCTCCCTAGCGTCCCAAACTGGATGCTTTTCAACAAACTGCATCACTCGATCTTTTTGGCGCCCTCACTCACGGTAGAACGGATGGACAATTTATCCTCCATTTTTTCTGCGATCCTTGCAGTCTCCAATTGTTGTCGTACTGCTAGCAGTTCGCATCTATATCTTTCTTGGAGTTCTTTCATCTGCTGCTCCATTTTCTCTCGAAGATGGCGTTCCTTCATTTCAATTAACGCCACGCTAAGTTTCAACTTATCGCTCAGCCGACTAGACCCACTAACCCTGGAGCCATGAATAGAAAAATTATGCAAAGGGACTTGCCGAGATTCTTTAGTGCTGTCGTCGGATCCCCGCTGTTCTTCATCAACGTCCTTGTTCGTCATATTCACTCTCCGAGTGATGGACATATCAGAGTACTGTAACGCCAAAACGCAATTGTCCTGGTCCGAGCGAAATGAAAAAGACCTCGTCTGTATGCGTTCAATCAAATGATCCTTCGCTCGTTCTGAATAACGATAAACAAAGCTCAGAGCAAAGCGTAGCCAAAATTATCGAGAACCAAGTCGATCGAAAAATAGTCTACGGTACTATTTTTGCATTAACCTCAAATACATAAGACAGTCATACCTCTGATAGTGAGCCTGATTCACTATCCAGCCAAAATGTTACAAATATTCACAGAAAATATCTGCGGTAATAAAAGGTAAATAAGAAAATGAGTGATTTGAACTACCTTTCAGATAATTCGGGACCAATAGGAAAATTCTGCACGCTTCAACAGATCAAGCAAAATAATCTTGAGCGTTACAGCCAAAGGGGGTTCAATATAACCGAAAGCAACAGTTAGTTCAACAACGAGCGTCCAATCGAAACTTTGGTCGCAATAAAACAAAAAAAGCACTGAATCTCATTTACACGTAAGAGCAAAGCACTTGAAGTGTGTGTCCAATAGATATGCTTCACCGTAAAAAAGGTAAAATAGAAGGTTCAGAAGCGAAAATTCACCGGCATGCAAACCACTGTCGGAAAGAATGCACGATAGAACGGCGAAGAAAGATAAGAAAATGCAAGGGAATTGATAGGAATTTTCATTTTTTTTACTGTTAAGGGGTGTTTGAATATATATTTAAACGTATGAATGTCTGAAGTTAGAAGTAGTCGGGTGGTATTAGGAAGGTGACACGCAGTCAAGGGCGAGGATAATCAAGCGTATGCTAAGGTGAATCTTGTCTGTCTTTTTGTGTTACACGCTCGTATTAATTCAATCCAGATAAACGTTCAAGCATCAGGCACTCCCCTAAAGTGATTCTCGACCCCCATAGAAATCTCTGTAGACTTGAAATCGTCGTCTCCATGGGCACGTAATGAAGTGAAGGTAGGAAGTCGTCAAAAAGCGTGCTACCTACTCGGGTGCTGCACCCGAGATCGAAAACGGAGTGAATAATGGGCACCACATTCCCGTCACAGCGAACTGTCGGTTGCTTGTAACCAACACTTGCAGTATTAGAAATAAGTGAACGGAACTCCTCGCAGCAGCATGTGACCTAAATGCACCTGTAATAGCTGTACAAGAATCATGGCTTAAGGACCACGATAGGGCACCAGGTTTAGTGTTAGACAGCTTCGCCATCCATATGCAGGATCGGCCTCTAGCACCAGACGGAGGAGTAGTGTTCCTCATAGGAAAAGACATTGTGCACATGGTTTGCGAAGTTTCAGTGAACCTCCACAGTGTTCAACTATGTCCCGAGGCTGTGACCACAGAAGACTGGGCACTGCTTGACGCACTAGAAGTCTTAATTCGGGGATCAGCAAAGTTATACATTGTTGNCCTGATATAGATTGGATGGCAGGTAGGTGCACCCAAGATAGTCAGGAGGAAAGGTATTTAGAGTGGATAAACACCAGGGCACTTTTTCAGCACGTTTCATTCTGCACGCGGTTTCAGAGCCCAGCAGGAACCATCCCTACTGGATCTTGTATTTTCCAAAAGGGAACAGGATGTAATTGATGTCATTGGATATCCACCAATAGGGAAGAGTGATCACTTCCTCATCGGGGTCGATATCTGGATGAAACCCCCGTACGTAGATTACGAATGTACAGGGATTTTGGTGGAATGAACATCAGTAGGATTCGGGAGTGCACTGCACGAATGCAGTGGATTCCCGAGTGAAACAGATGTCGAGGAATGCTGGTTGGTAATCAAGCACAACCTCCTCGCCCTCCATGATCTCTTTGCCCCACTAAGATAT